GCTTAGTAGTGGATTTTTGAGGGAATATCTCAGGTAAGTGTGAGGGAAAGACATTAAAATCTTGGAGGGAAAGCTGATTAGGGTATGTTTTGATGAAGATCTCAGTTTTGTAAATATGTTGAGGTAAAGAACTAAAATCTTGTAGTGAAAAGCTGAGTAGGGGATGTTTTGAGGGAAGATCTCAGGTAAAGTGTGAGGGAAAAACTTAAAATCTTGGAGGGAAAAGCTGAGTGGGGGACATTTTGGGGGTGAAATACGTGATGTCCTGAGGGTCACAAGAGGAGGAGGCTGGTGCCCCCTGTATCACTGAGGGAAAGGAGGAGGTCCTGTGTGTCACTGAGGGGGAGGCAGGTGCCCTGTGTGTCGCTGAGGGTCCATGAGGGTCACGGGGGAGGAATTGGGTGCCCCAAGTGTCACTGAGGGGCTTTGAGGGTCAGTGAGGAAGCAGTGGGTGTCCTGTACATCACTGAGGGGAAAGTGGGTGCCTCGTGTGTTGCTGAGGGTTCTGGGAGGGTCACTGTGGGTGAAGAGGGTTCCCTGAGGGGCTGGGAGGGTCGCTGAGGGGAAAGCAGGTGCCTCGTTTGTTGCTGAGGATCACTGAGAGGCAACTGGGTGCCCCGAGTACCGGCGAGGAACTTCGGGAGTTGCTGAGGGAGAGGTGTGTGTTCTCTGTGTCCCTGAGGGGAAGGCAGGTTTCCCGCATGTTGCTGAGGGGGGAGGCAGGTGCCTGGTGTGTCCCTCAGGATCTCTGAGGGCAAAGAGGGTGCCCCGAGGGGTAAGTGAGTGTCTCCTGTGTCCCTTTAGGGGCTGTGAGGGACACAGGGCAAAAAGGCTGCTCTGAAGGGTCACTGAGGGGCCCTGAGGGTGCCCTGAGGGAGACGAGACGGGGTGGGGCAGAGCAGGGCAGGTTGATCGCTGTTGCTGCGCTGCTTTCCCCCCTCCCCTCAGCCTCGGTGTCCCGCTCCTCCCCCGGTCTGTGAGGCAGGCGCAAGCGAAAGGTGCTTTAGAGAAGCTCGACAAAAAGTTTGAGCAGATTTTGGGCTATTACAGAGGTAATACAGAGTGTTGAGCAACGGTGTCAGGGGGGCAGCAGGGTGTTTCAGTGGAGTTACTGAGCGAAAAGCTTCTTGAACTCCGTCACCCTTTGTGAGGTAACACAGAGGGGACTGAGAGTTTCACAGAGGTAAAGCTGAGGGAACTTCGAAAGCACATCCAGGGGATGTCTTGAGGGAAGATCTCAGGTAAAACGTGAGTGAGGTGAAGTGTGAGTAAGGTGGTGAATAAGACACAAACCCCGCTAGTGACACAATCAAGTGCCAGGGCAGAATTAAGGTTTATTACAAAACAGTTTGGTTTAAATACAGCGCTTAAACATGTCACGTGATCTTCCAAACAATGACAATCGAGTATTGATTGAGCATGCGTGAGAACGTGGAAAACTACAACTCCCATAATTCCTTGCCACATCTCCCCCTTCTCTAAATAATTAACAAGTTGTAAAACAATAAATTTTTTAAACGTTCTTAATGTAACCAATCTTATCTTAACTGTTTATAAAATCCAGGGCCTATCATCACAAGGCCTTTATTGAGCTGTTTACAATTTCATTGGTTCGTGCAATATTCAAGCAACCTTGAATTACCCAGGGTTTGCAGATGTGTAGAACCTTTTATCTGGGGGTAATTTTGTGTGATTGGGTAAAGGCATCATCTTTATTTGAAAGGGAAGTGTGTTGGGTTGTAGAAGTTGTGTTTGAAGTAGTGTTGTTTGAGGTAGTGTTGAATGAGTGTTTAAGATGTCTTGCTATAAAGTGTATTTGCATTCACACACACATATCTCCACTCAACTTTCTCATTGACATTCCGATGGCCACTGTTTCATTCTCTCCTCACACAAGCATTCTTAAACCCTTTATTGTGTTTGAATCATGGAGTTTTGGTTTTGTATTGGTTACTGTCTGTGTGTTTCTTTTTGGTTCTGTTTATTTATTGCTTCTTTGTGCTTGTTCATGTTTTGAAGAAGTGTTAATGTAGATTTACACATATAGGGACCAGACCCATATCTCTTTCCCCCCCTTTTTTCTGTTTTTATAGCATGTTTCTCAGTGTGTGGTGTGTTCCTTTTACTATTGTTGGTTACATTTCTTCAAATCCAATTTCTTCACTCATTTTTTCTGGTGATTGTTTCTGTTGTGGGGGAGGGCATATCTAAGACCTGACACATTTAGAAGGGATCCTTTGTAATTTGGTACCCTTGGATACACAGGCATATATCCTGCCTCAAGTTCTGAGATCTACTGGTCCTGACCATTGCCAAGATATTAGAATATTAGATTTTTAATCATAACTGGTGCTTTGGAAGATGAAAGTATTTGAGTTTTATGTTGGTATTCATACCTGCTATGGTTTGTATCATCACAGTTTAAGAAATTTAGAACATATGATGCTTTCCATAAGCGTTCCTGGGGGCTATATACCAACTCCCCTCTTTTTTGCCTTTGAAGCATTTCTTTTAGTGTGCAGTGTGCTCTTTTTACAACTGTTCTGTGGGTGAGCGCGGCATGTTTGTGGAATGGAATATCTTCTGATTTGGGAGATGTGTTTTAGCTTTTGTTGAATAACATACAGGATCATTGTTTGTGTTTATGGTTTTTGGAAGTTTTGAAATTGCAAAACAAATTAGTATTTGGTAGTATCTTTTGCCTTTTTCTAGTGTGTGGTGTTGTATTATTCTATTTGGAATGTGTGAATGGATGTGTCTTATGTAAGAGTTCGATTTTGTGTGATTAACAAGGAATTCTGTGGTGTGTATTTTTCTAGGTACATGAGGGTTAGTGAAATCTCGAAGGAAGGAGGCTTCGAGATGTGAAAGTAGCATCGCATGAATCAATTATAACATTCATAGGTTAATTACGAAACAATTTAAATGTCTTGCGTATATGAGTAACTTGTAAAACTTCTATAGAGTCCCGGTCCAAGGTTTGTACCTTATTGTTACATTGTCTTCTTTAGTTTGTCCAGATGTAGATGGTCTTAGTGTCCCATTTACTTATTTTTTGTAGTCATTCTTTACTTTTAAAAACTATCCTTGCAAACATGTTAATAACAGTTCAATCCATTTCAGATGAAAAGTGGGCAGAATAGATGTGAGGAGCAGGTGAATCTGTAGTTTTTGAAGCAATAGCAGTGAGTCACTCCATGTTACAGTGTCTTGCTTTTGGGCTGAAGGCTTTAAGGATCATCTTTTGTTGTGTAGTTTTCTTTGTATTGGAGATTCCATTGTTGGTCCTGTTAAATTTTGTTTGGGATGTTTTACAGTCCCCATTTCTTAATAATATCAGTTAGAGCAACTGTGACCAGGTTTAATTCAGTCTCTCAGGTAGTTGCAGTTTACAAGCAGCTATTTTGCACTCTTGTTGACATTATGTATGTTGTTCTGTGATTGCAAAATGTTTTGAGAATGTTTGAATGTAACAAATATGGGGATGTTTAAGATTCCATACTTATTATTTGAATAACATTGTTATGATAATTGCATGTGTGTGGATGTATTTGAGAATTTAATAACTTCTAATAACTTTTATTTTTAATAATTCAAATAAACCTACTGGGAAATTAATGAAAAAATAGGGAAAAATTTTTTAAAGCTGTAGTGTTCTGGCTTTGTGGAGATAAATGTTTTTGGTTAAAATAAAATGACACCAATTTACATAGTGAAAGGCAATAGCAAAAGCTTTTAGGCAACAAAGAGAATTTTTCTCTCTCTTTACACTATAAACAGAAGGTTTCAAATCTTCTTTTTCATCTTGAGTCCAGCAATTGATTGGTAATCAGCATGCAATCTATGCTGAAACAATCTGTGGGTAAATTTATTTAATTCAAATTTATCTCCCTAGTAAATTGCTTGTATTGCTCCAGTTTTTATAATATGTGTAGCAATTTTGTTTGCTGATTGATAAAAGGTTTATCTTGCATTCTTTAGCATAGCTAGAAGAATATGAAACTGCTAAACCTAATGAAAGTTTTGTATCAGCCAGTTTTATATTTTAAAAATGTGAATTAATGAATATATTGGGCTTTAAAATGGTGAGATGCTAAATTTTATTCCATGTGTAAATGTTTTTAAACTATTTTCTACCCTTTATTTCTATTGTTAAGAAAACAATTTACAGTACTTTTAAGACAAATGATTTGAAAACAAAAAAGAAAAAACCACAAATGTTAGAAGTAAAATTTATATTTTCCTGAAAATATAAAATGCAGTGGTATGAGTGAATAGTTAATAACATTTTAGTTTGCTGTGTTTTGCTTTCTTTTTCCCATATTATGTAAGAAAGGAGATTTTGAGTAAGAGATGAGAGGGGTTTGCTTGTCGTTTTCCTCACCAAAAGGCAAGTCACCTGTTTGTTTAGCCAAAGAGTTAGTAGGAAAGCTTTTATAGGAACAGGAATAGTGGTAGAAGATGACAAAATCTAATTCCACCCAGTTGTTAAGAAGTAAACCATAGTTATTATGTTTGAGGGGCAACACATTATTTCTTTTTTTGCAAAGCAATTATGCAAGAAGTGTTTTTTATCCTTTTCTTTAACTAAAAAGTCACTTGTAAAATCTTGGTTTTCAAAAATTCTAATCTTTTTGCACTCTGAGATGGGTAGAAAGTATGAAAATCCATCTTTCTCTAGGTTTGAGAGATTGATAGATTAGTGAAATGGTTTTTGTATGTAGCAAGGCTGTGTTTATGTGGTTTTCTATTGTTGTGTGTAAATGCATCACCTCTGTTTTAAGGAAAGGCCACTGTATGACGGATTTAGGGCTATTTGTTTCTTGGGCCACTTGTGGGTTTAGCTGCAATGAAACTGCCTTTGGGAGAAATCCGCTGTTAATTGACTTCCTCTGTTCTACAGAATGAGTGACTTCAGTGGGGCCAATGGAAACAGGGGTAATGTCTGGGCTATTGCTGGTTATGATGTCTCTGTTTGGTTTTGGGGTGCTAGTTTAAGAAAACTTGTTAAACAGGTTTGGATGTTTTTTAAGAGCCATTGTGAGGTTACATCTGTTCTGTTGTTAAAAATGTTTGATCTTCCTGTCTTTGCTTCCCATTCTAATTGTTTAATTTGGGTCTAGGCCAATTTATGCATGTTTGTGTTTTGAATGGATTTGGAGGTGTGTATTGCTGTATGTTGCAGCCTTGAGGGGCATCTTTGGGCTTGTGTTGTATGAGGGATTCCTTTGTTTTGCTTTATCAAGGCTATTGCAGTGACTGTGTGTAAAGCATTATGTGTTTCTGCAGTTGAAATTGTAATTGGTTGTTTCTTTGCTACTTGTTTAGGTTTGGCTTTCCAAGTTGTGTATGGCATACTGTCTAATAGCATTTTAAAATAGTGAGAAGTAAATACTCAATTTAGGGCCCCTCCTAGTATTTCTATTCTTCCCACCTGTAACACAAAAGAACATTTTATAATAGTAGATAATTTGTCAATTAGTAAAGTTGTCCTTTTGTGACTTAGTAAGTTAAATATGGTAGCTGACAGTTGTATGTCTGCTGTGTTTTGCAATGTTACCTTTAGATTGTTGGTTGTGTCAGTAGGTGGATTGTGTTGTTCCAGCTGAAATTCTCACAGCATAAAACCAACAGCTGCTATTGTTAGCAACGTAGCCAATATATATATTGTCCATTTTAACATTGGTAGCTTTGACTTCACTGATGGTCTCGGCTTGGGCAGGAATATTTTGTGTGCGTTCCCAGTCTGTATTGTCTTCTTCAAGCTGAAGTAGTAGTTGTAGCCATGTTTGCTGTTCTTCCTCTTCTGCAGGATCCAAAACTGCTTGTCTTCTTTTTGGTTCTCTTGTCTTGCTGAGTTCAGTTTGCCACAGCTGGGCTAAGATTTCTAGGGTATCAATTTCTAATTTTCCTCCTCCATCAGGCCGTCTTCGGCGTAGAAGCTCTTCTGAGGCTGGCGAGGGCTGTGGGTTGGTTTCTTGGTAGGAGAGCAACGGTGGTGTTTTAACTGTTGTGCATTTGTTGTCTCTTGGTTGAACTGGTGGTGACGGTAGAGGCACTTTCACTTAGGCCTCATGACAGGAGTAAGCTGGCTGTGTCCATTGTTCTGCAGAACTCTCAGAGCTGCTGCGCAGACAAAGAGAGTTACTGGACCCCCATGAGCCCACAACAGCAGTCCATCCATTGCCCCCCGTCACAGCCCCTGCAGCTGCTGCTGGTGCCCTAACCCAAGTGAAGTTTGGAGGGGTTTGTGGAGCTGGGGGGGCCTGTGGGTGGGTAGTGGCTTGGAGATCTCCCTCTGGGGGTGTAGGGACCGGGTTTCCTTCTTGGGGAGGAGCTGGTGTTTCTCAGGCTCAGCTGTGTCCTCCTGCCTTGGCAGAAGCCGTCGGAGAAGAAAGAAGAGACAGCAGTGGAACTTCGAGGCAAGAGCGAAGAAGACGAGCAGCAGCGTCGAGCTCAAGAGGGGGCACGACAGAGACCCTCTGGGCAAATGCACATCCCTGGCACCCCCCGGGCAGGGATCCGTAAGCATCCGGCGGGCACCTTCAGGCTGCCCCGGCCGGCTTTGCGCTGGGCGACCTCCCTGTAAGCAGGGCTGGGTCTTTGCTTTGCTTTGCTTTGCTGGCCTTTGGCCATGGCGCTCCTTTGGCTGCCCGGAGAGGGGGGCAACCCTGTAAGGAGGGTGAGAGTCCCCGTCTCCACACCCGAGGGGAGAAACGGAGCTCTCCCGACCCCCAGCCCGCCCTGTAAGCAGGGCAGGGCTTTTCTCGTCCCCCAGCCCGCCCTGTAAGCAGGGCAGGGCTTTTCTCAACCCCCAGCCCGCCCTGTAAGCAGGGCAGGGCTTTTCTCGTCCCCCAGCCCGCCCTGTAAGCAGGGCAGGGCTTTTCCCAACCCCCAGCCCGCCCTGTAAGCAGGGCAGGGCTTTTCCCGACCCCCAGCCCGCCCTGTAAGCAGGGCAGGGCTTTTCCCCCTGGCACCTTTGTGCCTGCTTATGGCCCCTGGCCAGAGTGACCCCCTGTAGCTGGGGCGTGTCACGGCCTTGGTCCCTGGGCCACCTGTGAAGCCCCTCAGTGTGCTGAGGCCCCTCTGGCCTCTGCAGAGCCCGGGGCAGGGCTGAGGCTCTGCTCTCCTGCCCAGAGGGAGGGATGCCTCCCCACACGTTGGCTGCACAGAGCCTGCTCCCTCTTCTGGGACGTTCCCCCTTTGTGTTTTTGTCTTTGTCGGTGTGAGTGAGCAAGTGAGCCTGTGCTTTGTCCCCCATAGCAAAAACGAGGCTAGTGTAGCTTAGACTTCCCAGGAGGGAAAGAGGGGCTCTGTGCAGCAACCCGGGGGTGCCCTCTGAACCCACGGGTGGAGACAGGGCCCGGCCTTGCCCCTTCTTCCCCAGGACAGAGCGAAGCCCGTTAGTGGTGGTGCAGGCACCGTGACCCGCCTGTAGCCAGGGCCTGGGCGTGTGCCTGCGCTGCGGGGCTGCCTGTCCTGCTGGTGATGTGCCAGCGTGATCCCCCCCCCCCCTCCGGCCTTAGGCCGTCAGGCCACTGTTGGGAGTGCCGGGCCTCGGGGGCGGCCCTGTAAGTGGGGCTTTGTGCGTCCCCCGTGCCCGGCGGGCGGTTGGAGGGACCCTCTGTAACCAGGCGGGTGTCCCGTGGGGTCCCCACCCTTTCACAGGCGTGGGGCTGGGCGGGTGCCCTGCCGTCCTCGGGGGAAGGCGAGCTCCTGGCTCCTGGGTGTGACCCCGCCTGTTAAGCAGGTCCGGGTCTGGGAGCCTTTGTGCTCCATCAGCTGGCAAAGCCTGTGCGGGGCGACCGCCCCTTAGCGGGGAGCGGGTCAGGTGCCCCGAAGCGGAAGAAGAGCTCCGCGGGCCTTTGGGCCCAGGGCTGCCCTTAAGTCGGGGTCAGGGCCTGGGAGCCCCGGGCACTTTGCGCTCCAGGCAGCGGCCCGGAGCCCCCTGTAAGCGGGGTGCAGCCTCTTTTGGCCACTGCCTTGGCTGCCCAGCGCCTTTGCCCAGAGGGGCCCGGCTCCCAGCAGCGGATGGACATGCGTCGCCAGCTGGTTGAGACCAAGTGAAGTTTTGGAGGGGTTTAGGGAGCGCTGGGGGGGGCCTGTGGGTGGGTGGTGGCTTGGAGATCTCCCTCTGGGGGTGTAGGGACCGGGTTTCCTTCTTGGGGAGGAGCTGGTGTTTCTCAGGCTCAATTGTGGCCTCCTGCCTTGGCAGAAGCCGTCGGAGAAGAAAGAAGAGACAGCAGTGGAACTTTGAGGCAAGAGCGAAGAAGAGGAGCAGCAGCGTCGAGCTCAAGAGGGGGCACGACAGGGACCCTCTGGGCAAATGCACCTCCCTGGCCCCCCCCGGGCAGGGATCCGTAAGAGTCCGGCGGGCACCTTCAGGGTGCCCCGGCTGGCTTTGCGCTGGGCGACCTCCCTGTAAGCAGGGCTGGGTCTTTGCTTTGCTTTGCTGGCCTTTGGCCATGGCGCTCCTTTGGCTGCCTGGAGAGAGGGGCAACCCTGTAAGGAGGGTGAGAGCCCCCATCTCCTCACCCAAGGGGGGAAACGGAGCTCTCCCTATCCCCAGCCCGCCCTGTAAGCAGGGCAGGGCTTTTTCTGACCCCCAGCCCGCCCTGTAAGCAGGGCAGGGCTTTTGCTGACCCCCAGCCCGCCCTGTAAGCAGGGCAGGGCTTTTGCTGACCCCCAGCCCGCCCTGTAAGCAGGGCAGGGCTTTTGCTGACCCCCAGCCCGCCCTGTAAGCAGGGCAGGGCTTTTCCCCCTGGCACCTTTGTGCCTGCTTATGGCCCCTGGCCAGAGTGGCCCCCTGTAGCTGGGGCGTGTCACGGCCTTGGTCCCTGGGCCTGTTGTGAAGCCCCTCCGTGTGCTGAGGCCCCTCTGGCCTCTGCAGAGCCCGGGGCAGGGCTGAGGCTCTGCTCTCCTGCCCAGAGGGAGGGATGGCTCCCCACGCGTTGGCTGCACAGAGCCTGCTCCCTCTTCTGGGACGTTCCCCCTTTGTGTTTTTGTGTTTGTCGGTGTGAGTGAGCAAGTGTGCTTGTGTTTTATCCCCCGTAGCAAAAGTGAGGCTAGTGTAGCTTAGACTTCCCAGGAGGGAAAGAGGGGCTCTGTGCAGCAACCGGGGGGTGCCCTCTGAACCCGCGGGCGGAGACAGGGCCCGGCCTTGCCCCTTCTTGCCCCGGACGGAGCGAAGCCCGTTAGTGGTGGTGCAGGCACCGTGACCCGCCTGTAGCCAGGGCCTGGGCGTGTGCCTGCACTGCGGGGCTGCCTGTCCTGCTGGTGACGTGCCAGCGTGGTCCCCCATTGTCCTCAGGGCTGCAGCCCTGTCCCCCCGGCCTTAGGCCACTGTTGGGAGTGCCGGGCCTCGGGGGCAGCCCTGTAAGTGGGGCTTTGTGCGTCCCCCGTGCCCGGCGGGCGGTTGGAGGGACCCTCTGTAACCAGGCGGGTGTCCCGTGGGGTCCCCACCCTTTGACAGGCGTGGGGCTGGGCGTGTGCCCTCCCTGTCCTCGGGGGAAGGCCGAGCTCTGTGGCTCCCTGGGTGTTGTCCCGCCTGTAAGCAGGGTCCGGGTCTGGGAGCCTTTGTGCTCCCTCAGCTGGCAGCCTGTGCGGGGCGACCGCCCCGTTAGCGGGGAGCGGGTCAGGTGCCCCCGAAGCGGAGAGAAGGAGCCTCCGTGGGCCTTTGGGCCCAGGGCTGCCCTGTAAGTCGGGGCCAGTGCCCTGGAGTCCCGGGCACTTTGCGCTCCAGGCAGCGGCCGGAGCCCCCTGTAAGCGGGGGTGCAGCCTCTTTGGCCACTGCCTTGCATGCCCAGCCGCCTTTGCCCAGAGGGCCCGGCTCCCAGCAGCGGATGGGACTGCGTCGCTCTGGTGAGACCAAGTGAAGTTTGGAGGGGTTTGTGGAGCTGGGGGGGCCTGGGGGTGGGTAGTGGCTTGGAGATCTCCCTCTGGGGGTGTAGGGACCGGGTTTCCTTCTTGGGGAGGAGCTGGTGTTTCTCAGGCTCAGCTGTGTCCTCCTGCCTTTGCAGAAGCCGTCGGAGAAGAAAGAAGAGACAGCAGTGGAACTTCGAGGCAAGAGCGAAGAAGACGAGCAGCAGCGTCGAGCTCAAGAGGGGGCACGACAGAGACCCTCTGGGCAAATGCACATCCCTGGCACCCCCCGGGCAGGGATCCGTAAGCATCCGGCGGGCACCTTCAGGCTGCCCCGGCCGGCTTTGCGCTGGGCGACCTCCCTGTAAGCAGGGCTGGGTCTTTGCTTTGCTTTGCTTTGCTGGCCTTTGGCCATGGCGCTCCTTTGGCTGCCTGGAGAGAGGGGCAACCCTGTAAGGAGGGTGAGAGCCCCCATCTCCTCACCCAAGGGGGGAAACAGCTTCCCGACCCCCACCCGCCCTGTAAGCAGGGCAGGGGCTTTTCTCGACCCCCAGCCCGCCCTGTAAGCAGGGCAGGGCTTTGCCTGAACCCCAGCAAGCCCTGTAAGCAGGGCATAGTGCTTTTTTTTCCCCCTGGCACCTTTGTGCCGGCTTATGGCCCCTGGCCAGAGTGACCCCCTGTAGCTGGGGCGTGTCACGGCCTTGGTCCCTGGGCCAGTTGTGAAGCCCCTCCGTGTGCTGAGGCCCCTCTGGCCTCTGCAGAGCCCGGGGCAGGGCTGAGGCTCTGCTCTCCTGCCCAGCGGGAGGGATGGCTCCCCACGCGTTGG